AAAAAAAAAAAAAGAAAGAAAGAAAAAAGATTTATTCCTCTAGCTAGTTCTCAGCTCTCCTTCCTTCTTTGTAATGTCTTCTGAGACCTTACATGCTGCTTTGATTTTATTAAGAACCCTAATTAAAGTGATTCAGAAAAATTGGGCTGAATATGAAATTTAAAGAACAACTTGTTGGCTTTTTAATTTCCATTTTTAAATTATATTTGTGATTGTATAAAAAATCACTAGATGCAAAAACATTCTAGATGTTAATAAAATTCTGTTATTTTCTTAATTTAAGTAAGCCCCTCTTTTACCATTGTTTATTTAAAAAGAAAGAACAAAAGAAAATAGTCTGGGTGCTGGCAGGAAGTTGAGATCTGAGGATCAAGGTTTGAAGCCAGCCTGGACAGGAAAGCCTGTGAGACTCTTATTTATGTCAAACTACTCAGAAAAAGCTAGAAGTGGAGCTGTGGCTCAAGTGGTAGAGCACTAGCCTTGGGTACAAGAAGCTCAGGGACAATGCCTTATTCCTTAGTTTGAGCCCCAAGACTGACAAAAAAAAAAAAGAAGGAAAGGGAAAGGAAGAAGAGGGAAAAGAGGAGGGAGGAAAGAAGATGCACAAAACAGAAATTATGTCAGTCTCTCCTCCATAAAAGAGATGGGCTTGCTAATAACCCAGTCAGAGGGAATCCTATGCATTACTGGCAAAGGAATATTCTGTCTCTTCTCACAGGTAAAAAGCACAATTTCCCTTCATTTACTCAGTAACTTAGTAAAACTTCACAGAGAGCCTCCACTAGTGGATGATAGGAAAGTGACTAATAACATGCCCCACCCCTTCAGAACAGCGTGTGGGTATAGTAGAGAGATGTGCTCAGAAGGCTATGAATATTCTTTCTGCGGGAGCCAGTGCGAAGGCTGGAACAGCTAGTTTTCCCAGCATGAAGTCTTTCGTTCCGTGTCTTAGCCTGGTCACTGATTGCTCAGTAGTTTGTTTTAAATAATTTAGTAGTCATAACCGTAGGAGGTGTTTAAAAAAATTAAGATGCCCTGCCCTAAAAGAATTTCAGTCTAGGGATCGATTTATAGGAAGTCTCTTTCCATTGTTGCTTATTCTGCTACTAGCTTGTCTTTAAAAAACCCTTCACTTTTGTTATCACAGCATAACAAAATACCATTCTCTTAGTAACAGAGCTATATTTACTTGTGCAGGGCATGGTTCATACAAAAATGCCTTATGCTGAAACCTTAGCCCTCCTTCCTCTGAAACCTTAGCCCTCTCAGCAGAAACTGTGTCAGAAAGAAAGTTAATTTCTTTTTGCTCCAGTTTTGATTGAAATGGGAGGATGGGTAAAAAACATGGCTCAGAGTAGTTTTCAGATTCTAATAGAATTATTGACTCCCTTATGTATTCCCTTGGGTAGTAAACTGGTCACATTATCTCATTCCAGTTTGTACTAGTTAAGATCTAAATAGGAGACAGAAGACCACAGTTAGAACAAGAGAAGTTTAATAAAAGAATTATAAACAAACATCTGATTAATAGGGAATTGTATAGTAAGAGGTAAGTGATGGGAAGAACAGGTGTGGGAGCAGTCCCTTGCCACTCTACTGTCCACCTCATCTCCAGGCTAAAATTATAGTAAATGAAGTAAGCCAGGCCCAAAGAAACATAGGTCCCATGGTTCCCTTATTTGCAACAACTACTATATGTCTGGGACAAGCAGAAAAGTTCAGATAAGATGATGTTAAGCTAAATGAACCCCAAGATAGGGACACAAGTGGTTTTTTTCTTTCTTGCTACTGTTTCTAACCTATTTATAAGGTACCATGTGATTTTTTTTGTTGCTTTGTATGTCCCTCCCCCTGTTTTCACTGTATTTGATGTTGCTATAATTTGGGCGGGGGAAGGGAAACAACAAATTGTTTAAATAGGGATACAGGTGGACCCATTGCAGCAATGAGATGTACAAGATGCTATGTTGAAAAACGAACTTTACAAATTAGGTGGGGGGTAGGGGGCATGGGGTGGGAGGGCAGGAGGAGGGGGGAGTGTAGTTGAGGAGGTTGAGGTGGAAGGGAAGGAATGGTAGGGGAAAAACAAAGGAGAAGGCAACAATGCTTGATAAGAAATGTACTTATTACCTTGCTCATGTAACTGTAACCCCTCTGTACAGTATTTTCACAATAAAAAAACTTATTTTAAAAAAAAATTCTAGGAGCTAGGAAGGTGGCTCAGTGGTGAGAGCTTGCCTTGCATGCATGAGACCCTAGGTTCGATTCCTCAGCACCACATAAGCAGAAAAAAAAAAGCCGGAGGTGGCGCTGTGGCTCAAGTGGTAGAGCACTAGCCTTGAGCTGAAGAGCTGAGGGACAGCACCCAGGCCCAGAGTTCAGGCCCCATGATCGGAACCCCCCCCAAAAAAAAAGCAGTTGTAGCCCTTGGTAAAGAGAATGAATGAAGTTAATTCTCTAGCTCACTGCATAGATAAAAATGAACAAAATGTCCCCAGAACTACTACCTTTAGGGGACAGCCATCCATAATGAGGCCCCAGGGCTGGGAAGGTGGCTCAGTGGTAGAGCACTTGCCTTGCATGCATGAGGCCCTGGGTTGCAGAAAAAAGCCAGAAGTGCTATGGCTCAAGTGGTAGAGTGCTAGCCTTGAGCTGAAGAGCTGAGGGACAGCACCCAGGCCCAGAGTTCAAGGCCCATGACTGGCAAAAAAAAAAAAAAACATAATGAGGCCCCAAATGCTGGTGGGCTGCGCAAAAAAATGTGACCCACATGTACCAAAAATGGCATAGAAACCTCTCCCTTCTTTTTGTCCCTCCTGCGCCCTCTGCTGGCTTAGTTTCACATCACAAAATTCCTTTACTGTAGAGCAAGGAATGAAAGATGAACTTGGTATGTGTGTGTGGGGGGGGGGAGGGGGCAATAAGCGGATAGCTAGTATGGGTTCTGAATTGACTCATATTTAAATGGAGGAAAGACCTTTTGTATCTATTTTTGTTTGGGGCCTTGTATAATTCTGAAAAGTAAGTAGGGGATAGAATCATGGTTACCTAATCATGAGAGATGAGAAAGCATCCAAAGAAGTTAAGTGACTTGCTTGAGGTTACATCATAAGAAATTGTCGAATGATGATACTAACAACTACCACACAATAAGTGTGCCACGTGCATGCTAAGTACTTTACAGAGTTTAATCCCATTATAAATCTGTGAAGTAGATAGTGTATTATGTCCACTTTACAATATACATGAAATTGAAGCAAAGAAAAGTGATGTTACTTACTTCCCAACTTGTGTTTTACCCACAGGCACTTGGCCCCTCCCCAAATGGAGGTTTGTGGGGTTTTTTCCTCCCATCCTTCGTGATCTGAGGAATTACCTTTTCCCTTTATTCCTGCAGTTTAGAAATTAGCCCCCAGAATGTGGATGTCAATGTGCACCCCACAAAGCATGAAGTTCACTTCCTACATGAGGAGAGCATCTTGGAGCGGGTACAGCAGCACATTGAAGGCAAACTCTTGGGTTCCAACTCTTCCAGGATGTACTTCACCCAGGTAAGAGCACATCATCTCTGCTTTCTCTCTGGACTTTTGCCACTTGGAAAGGTGCCCTATCAGACATGACAGCCCAGACCTTTGTTTTGTGCTTTAGAGCTTTCTTTGTATTACTTTGATAGTTTTTTTTTTTCATCTGTAAAGTAAGCAAGTTGGAGAACATGTTCCCTAGTGTCCATTCCAATTCTGGGATCCACAGTGAGAGGGTACTATCATTAAAACTGGCACTACAGTTAAAGGCTAGCTTGTATAGAAAAGTTCATAAGACTGCATCTTAGTGAAAGAAACTGAGCCAAGTGGTGTACACCTGTCACCCTAGCTACATCTGGAAGCCTAAAATAGCTAGATTATAGTCCAGACATAAGCCTGAATAGAAAGCAAGATGTCTCAAAAATAACCATGGTGAGACAGGGCTAGAGATGTGGCTTAGTGGTAGAGTGCTTCTAAGTGTGAGGCCTAGAACTACCAAAAATTAAAATTAAAAAGGCAAACACTGGAGCTATAAAAATGGAAATATTGACCCCAATAAAGTACACTATTTCTACAGAAAGAAGTGGGCTTTTGTGAGGCTTTCTTTTTCTTTTTTTTTTGCCAGTTCTGGGACTTGAACTCAGAGCCTGGGCACTGTCCCTGAACTTCTTTTGCTCCAGGCTAGCATTGTACCACTAGAGGCACAGCACCACCTCTGGCTTTTTCTGTTTATGTGGTACTGAGGAATCAACCTCAGGGCTTCATGAATACTAGGCAAGCACTCTACCACTGAGCCTTAACACTTTCTAGATAGGTACTCTATTATTTGAACCATGCCTCCATCCTCCTTTAAGAACATTCATAGTTATCTACCTGGAAGTCATCTGGGTGGGTGCAGCTATATCATCCTGAGACTCATAAACCTAGAGATGATTGGAGCATAGAAGGCGTGGACATTCATGTTGCTGCTGGTACCACCTGAAAGGGACAAGCAGGAAGCAGTCAGAAGAAAGTTCTATCTGGACACTAGTACTCATTTCTTGTTATTTTGGCTGGGCCTCTGATAGTATCATGACCCTCAGGTGTTGTAGAGGTAATAAATGCACACATTTTGCAGTATGCATAGGTGAGACAGGACACCCATTCCCTTAGGATGGCCAATGTATCTAGCAAGAGCAAGCTCTTAGAGCAGTATCTTTTAGGTTAGAAGCACCCACTGTCATTTGGTTTTCTACTTGTTGCTGTTCTTGCTCACTTTGTCTCGGCGTCTGTCCCTTTCTTCTTCTTACTCTGCCTCTGTCTCAAATATGCATTGAGACTCCTCTATGTGAAAGGTATTATTTAATGAGTGCGCTGACTGCCCCCCACATGGGTTCCTGTCCTCTCAGAAATGCTCATAGTCACCTAGAGAGCACATCCTAACGGAGAGAAAACAGATTTTGGAGCATATAGGAATCTTGTCCTGAACTTGGGCAGTTAGGGAAAGGAGAGAAGGGACTTACTAGGAATTACCTGGGCCAAAGGTGCAGGACTGATGGAACAGTGTTTCCAGCAGGGGACCAGCCACGAAAAAGGCCTGGGGTACAAGCAAACAAACACACAAAAACATGTTTGAGGATCTGAGAGTTGAGTGTGGTAGCACAGTTGCCATAGAATTTCCTGTATCTGAGCCCTCCTCAAAGCAGGAGGTCATTCTTGAGTGGTGAGATCTGGGCATCTAAAACTTTCCAAACCACCATCATATGTAGCCAGGGACAGCAGTGTGGGTGTGGGTATGGACCTGTTGATATTGAGGCCAAATTGAGTGACTTCCATTAGGATAAAGAGTTCAGATTTCAACATGATGGGGAATTAGTAGATTCTGATTTGCATTGTATAAAGAGCTCTCTGACCACAGTGTCTGAAATAGGTTGAAGAGGAGTAACAGAAACCCACAGTGATTTGAGGAAGTGACAAGTGGATATAGGAAGTGGTTTTATTCACTAATAGATGAGGGTTTCAGATTGCCAGACCTTGAAGTGGTTGGTTGGTAAGAAAAGAGTTGAAGATGCAGAGCATATTTTTTCATAGGGTGATTGGTTGTCCATTGCCATGTTTGAGAGAAAGATAAGGAAGACACTTGCCAGAGAAATTAAGTGAGTCCTATAGCTCCACAGGGAAAAGAACTTCTCAGCTTGCTTCTTTTGTCTCATCCTGGATCAGTCTAATGTATTTAGTCAGCTTTCATTTTATTTTGGGGTAAAACTCTACAGAGGCCTGAGTAGTATGACTTCAGAGAAAGACTGGATCAGAGAGCCTGTCTCTGGTGTTACAGTATACCAACCTTTTGAGCTCCTCACCATGGACTATGGAGTCTCCATTACTCATGGGTGGGCAGGAACCTTTTCTGCCAATAGCAGCTCTCACTGGCCACCATCCTTCTGGTGCCCCCTGTGCCTCTACCCATTCCCAGGGCTAGTACATCAAAAGCTCTGGTTTGCAGAAGCCTTTTGATTTATGAATTTGGATCTCTAGGGTCTCTTGTAGGTTTAGACTTTAAAATTACTATCTGTAAAATTTGTATGTTGATTTCTACTTCCTGAAGGCTACCTGTGGATATTACCTATGTATATTAAGTGAAGGTATTACAAAGGTTGTTTTTTTTTTTCTTTTGTTTAGTTTGCATTAGTTACACAGAGGGAGCTGAGCGCCAGTAGCTCATGCCTGTAATCCTGGTTACTTACACTGAGATCTGAGGATCTGTTCAAAGCTAGCCCATTTAGGAAAGTCCAGGAGACTCTTATCTCCAGTTAACCATCAGAAAACCCGAAGTGGCTCTGTGGCTCAAAGTGGTAGAGTGCTAGCCTTGAGCAAAAGAGCTCAGGGATGGTACCCAGGCTCTGAGTTCAAATCCTATGACTGACAAAAAAAAAAAAGTTATGCAGAGAGAGATTTTATTCTTCCATTCCCACCCATGTTTGCAATAGGTTCTAATCAATTTCATCCCCTCTATCTCTCTCTTTTTTTTTTTTTTGAGAGGTCAGATTGGGAGTCCTTAGAAAGTTGGCACTGCAGGTAGACTCCAGTCTCAAAGACCTGCAGCCTCAAATGCTGTTAGCACAAAGCTTATAAAGGCAAAAACCACATGATGGGGTAGGTTCCAAACCCAACAAAAGAGTTAAGCAAAGCAAACCATGTAGGGGAACAATCGTGGGCAAGCATTCTCTGGAGCACACCTTTCCTGGGGCTAAACAGCATGATAGATCAAAATTCAAAGAATGATTTGTTTCACCTCTAGGCTTTTTGGAACTGGGTGAAAAGCCCCCACCACCCATTAAGAGTCAAGTCCTTATTTCATTTCCCCACTGGTTGTATGTATATGAAATCAAATCATTGATTTTTAGTGAGAGGGCGTCAGGGCCCAACGAGCTTAACCAAGTTACTTTAAACAAGGTTTACAAAAGAGGCTCTCCTGTACTAGACTTCTTTCATTAGCATAAAAATAACATGTTTTTTCTAAGGTTGCACAGTTCCCCTTAGGTTTTTGCCTGGGCTGTTCCCAACTGCAATCTAAGGACCCTCCAGCAGTCAAAGCTGGCTCAGTGTATTTACCATAGCTAAGATATGGACCAACCCAGATGCCCTCAGTAGATGAATGGATCAAGGAAAAAAAAATATATATATATATAGGAATTCTGTGCCTCCATCAGAAAGCATGAGACTGCCCCATTTGTTAGGAAGTAGAAAGACTTGGAAAAAAGTGAAGTAAGGCAGACCCAAAGAAATGTAGGTCCCATGGTTTCCCTCATTTGCTATACTTAGTAGACATGTAAGATAATTTATCAGATGAGCAGAAGCTCAAAATCTATGTACATACAAGCATATAAGGTGATGCTAAGTGAAATGAATCCCAAGAAATAGACACAGAGGTCTTTCTTTGTTGTTGTTTTTAATGTACTATGTAATTTTTTTGTTTCCTTTGTATGTGGTACATCCCCTGTCATCACTGTACTTGATTTTGGTACCCTGCATCTTGTATATACATTTGTCTAATTTGGGAGGGGAAGGGGAATAACAAAACGCTGAAACAAGGACACAGGATGACCCATTGCAACAAGGATACCAACAGCACAGTATATTGGAAATGAACTTTACAACTTCGGGGGGGAGGTGTTGGGGGAGTGGGAAGGAGTGTAGGAGGTAGGGGAGGGAAGGGATAGTGGAACAACAATAAGGGAAGGGGTAACAATGGTCGACAAGTAATGTTCTCATTGCCTTACTCATGTAACTGTAACCCCTCTGTACAGCATCTTTACAATAAAACAATATTTAAAAAAAAGTTGGCTCAGTATAACTGATGCCCTTATAGTCAGGAGGCTTTGAACTTAAAAATAACCAGCAATCTGTTCCCAGGTCAAGCTGGGTATGGTTTACAAATCTATGTAACACAGAAAGAGTATCCCACAAAAAAGGCTCTGGGAAAGGAGTTGAGTGACAGGGTGACACAAAGGCTTAGCTTCAGCAGATCTGAAATGGCATGTGCCTTCCATCCGGTATCAGCAAATTTTAGTTGCCTGTGATAGAGCCAGGCAAGGTCCCGGCTGGTTTTTACCAAGTGGGGTTGGTCAGGTAGATGATGTAGGCTCCCTTTCAGGTGCAGTGAAACCATCTTTGATGAACTTCTTTTTTGGGGGGCGGGGGAGGCGCCTTGCAAATTCTTTATTGTGATTGAGTGATTACATAATTTCACAAATTTCACAGTACTGTGGGACAGTGATGCTTATAGACATTCTAACTTTCATGGGGCAAATTGTCTAGCATGGTCTATAAAGTTTTTATGAGCTTTGACAATACAGTTATATACCATTTATGTGATCAGCAGCATAGGGTTATTTAGTAGTGATCCGACCAGATGAATGGAGGTCCTTTGTTTCTTGAGTTGTTTACTTTGTCGTATCACCTTACATTTTGGATTTAACATCCACTTATCAGGGAGACCATGTGCCGTTTGTCTCTTTGCTCTTGGCTTACCTCTCTCAACATGATTTCTTCTACTTCCATTTGATGAAGTTCTTAACCTAAACAGAATCTCCAGATTGGAAGGGGTGGGTTGGATCTGAGCTGGGCCTGTTTATATGCCTCCTGCTAAATTCCCTGTAAGTTCTGCAGAGACTTAAGTGTGGAAACATTATTATACCTAAGGCAGGGGTGGAGGAGTGTGAGGGGTGGGGGGGAGGCCTGACTTCAGTTAAATCTATCTCCCAATACGCTCCTGGTTACTTCCTCAGAGTATGCTGGCTTGGATGGCAGGCTGGGGCAGGAACAGTCAGGAAGGTCTTGAGTGGGCTGTCTTAGAACCATGATCTTCAGATCTCAGCCTCCTGAGTATCTAGGATTACAGGCATGAGCCACCAGTGCCTGGCTCTCACGATGAAATTTTGTTTGAAGTGTTTTCAATCATGCAGTTCCATGCTATTTAAATACATTTACACGATTGTCATGTTTACTCTTAGTCTGGTTTTCAAAACAACCCTGAATTGTAATCTAGAGTCATAGTTTACCAAATGATAGTCACACCCACCCTATCCTCCCTTTCATTGGTCACACCAGCCATTCATTTGAAGATGTCCTCTTATGGGGTTCATTCATGTTAGTCCATCTTTTTTGTAGTAAGAATACACATGAAATCACTTGATAAGACTGCTTACTGTGGCTATGTGGAATGAGGCTGCAAGTTTTCTGTGGGAAGCAAGTGGAGAAGTGAGAAGTGAACACATAGTAAAATGAAGATAAATGACAAATCTCACATGTCCAGTGGTGCTGCAGTAGGAGTGTGCTGGGGTGTAATCTGGGTGGTTGGATCAAAACCATCTCTTACAGGACCTTGGTCCTTGTTACTCCACTCCTGTATTTGAACTGTGAACTCCATGATACCAAGAGAATCTATAGCGCTTTCCCCTTTGATTAACCTTCCCCAGGGAAAACATCAAATAAGACGTCAGCATCCATGACAGTGGTTCTCAGAGACTTCAGTGGAGTTTCTCAGACAGGAAAAGTAGGAGAATGATTTTTGCCCCTGATCGTTTCTCACATATTCCTCTAGAGTTTGGAAGTTGCAGCCCAAGAGTAGGGAGTAGAGAAGAGCCTTTTGTTAAGGATGCACTTCCTAGTGCATCTCAGCAGGAAGGGACATAGTGACTTGTCAGATCATTCAGTAGGTTTGTCTGAAGTAAGGTGGTAAGGTTGCTCTTCATCATTTTACTTCAGTTTTACCATCTATTGATGGCCAAATACTCATCAGTTATGTCATTAGATTGTAAGATGGTGATTTTCTCCTTTGTATTATTTTTCCATGTTAATTAGCCATAAATCTGTGTAAAAAAACTTTCTCATTTATTAGAGCTATTTGGTTATTCTGAAATAAAGTTTATACTAGAAAGTAAGGCCAAAATTGGAATTCTGCCCCATTAATGATCAGTTTTCAAAGGAATAAGCTATGTCTCCAGGACTTCTAACAGGATTTCACAGTTTTTCCCATCCTTCTGTCTCTCCCTTATCCTTCACTTTCTCTGTTTTTCTCTCTCTCTCACCCCCCCCACACAGAGAAACCATTTTAATCACTTGCGTGTGTGTGTGTGTGTGTATGTGTGTGTGTGTGTGTGTGTGTGTGTACACTGGTGCCAGTACTGAGGCTTAAACTCAGAGCCAGAGCACTGTCCCTCAGTTTTTTTTGCTCAAGACTGGCATCTTACCACTTAAGCTACAGTTTCACTTTCAGCTTTTTGGTGGTTAATTGGAAATAAGAGTCTCACAGACTTTCTTGCCTGGGCTGGCTTCAACCACAACCTTCAGATCTCAGCCTCCAAGTAGCTAGGATTACATAGACAAGCCATTGGCACTTAGTTCCATTTATCTTTTTGATGCACAAGTTATCCATCTTAGTCCAGTGGAAACCCCTTCCATGTGGGATGTTCACCTTTTGACCCCATTCTAGCCACCTTTTATAATTCCTCTGTGTCTATAAAGACAAGAGAAAATGAGGGGAAAAGTGACACTGTCAACAAGAAATGTACTCATTACCTGACTTATGTAACTGTAACCCCTTTACAATTAAAAAAAAAAAAAAAAAGATACTGCAGGCACTGTCAGCTTACTTAACCCAAGCCCTGGATTGATTGGCCTTTTCTAAGGAGCCCTGGTTCATTTCAGTTGGGGTTCATAATTAATGACTATAATCTAGGGTATAAGATTCTTGTTGCTTATGGGTCATCATTGCTTTTAGGCCTTGCAATGGTCAGATCTTAGAAACATGTACATTTATAAATACACAGTAATGCTAGGTACTGGTGGCTCAGGCCTGTAATCCTAGGTACTCAGAAGGCTGAGAAAAGGCCAGAAGTGGCACTTGTAGCTCAAGTGTTAGAGCACCATCCTTGAACACAAAGAGGCTCAGGGATAGTGCCCAGGCCCTGAGATCAAGCCCTAGGATTGGGAAAAAAACAACAATAGTAGTGAGGTAGTTATTAGTAAGCTAGGAGGAGGAGGGAATGGGAAATTATTGTTTAGTAGATGCAGAGTTTCAATTTAGAAGGATGAGAATGTTCTAGGTGGTACAGATAGTTGCACAACAGTGGAAATGCACTTAATGCCATGAAATTATCACTACAAATGATTAAAATAGTAAAAAGTTGTGTTATACATATTTTACCACAAAAAGAAAATCCTTATTGCAGGAAAAATTAGACAAAATATGAGAACTTTATACAATTTCCATTTCAAGATAATTTTAAGATTATACAGACTTTGCTTAATTCTTAAATTTTAAAATTATAGACCTTATACTCCAAATTTTGGTCTAATTTCCTATTATGTAGTTTTGTAATGGTAATTATTACCTGCTTGTACCTACTTTCTCTAATACTGCTCCATTTTGAGACCTGGACTTACACTCTTCACATTCTGAGTCTTGTGGTATCTTCTCTTTTGAAACAGACTTTGCTACCGGGACTTGCTGGCCCTTCTGGAGAGGTAGTTAAGTGCACATCTGGTGTGACCTCTTCATCTACATCTGGAAGTGGTGACAAGGTCCATGCTTACCAGATGGTCCGAACAGATTCCCGGGAACAGAAGCTGGATGCCTTTCTGCAGCCTGTGAGCAAGGCCCAAGCCAGTCAGCCCCTGGCCACTGTTGCAGGGGATAGGAAGAACAGCTGTAGTGGTGAGGCCAGGCAGCAAGACGAGGAGATGCTTGAACTCCCAGCCCCTGTTGAAGTGGCTGCCAAGAATCAGAACTTGGAGGGTAAAGCACTAGAGGGGGCTTCTTCAGATACAGCACAAAAAGGAGTCCCACCAACCAGCCCAGGCAACCCCAGGTATGAGCTGTGTAAAGTACTCTCTTTGTTCTTTAAAGTAATGTTTGCCCTTTTTCTTACCTGACTTGCTCTCTGCCTCCAATAGGGACAGTTTGTGGCTTTATCCACTGTCTGCCTTTAACCATGGCTTAAAAGCCAACTACCATAGTTTCTTCTAAACATATTAAATACCCATGATTCCAAATATGAGTTTAAAGTACATTAGAAAGAAGCCAGGCACTCGTGGCTCATGCTTGTAATCCTCACTACTCAGAATGTTAAGATCTGAGGATCACAGATAGAAGCCCAGTCTAGACAGAGACAGTACACAGGCTCTGAGTTCAAGCCCCAGAACTGACAAGTGTGTGTGCATGAGTGTGTGTGTGTGCATACACACAATCCAAACATCAGAAAGAAAGCAGGTGAATCCTTTGGTGGTTTTGTTTTGTTTGTTGTTGTTTTTGTACTGGTCCTAAGGCTTGAACTCAAGGCCTAGACACTGCCCCTGAACTTTTTTGCTCAAGGCTATGCTCTACCACTTGAGCCAAAGCTCCACTTACAACTTGTTTTGGTGTTTAATTGGAGATAAGAGTCTCATGGACTTTTCTGCCTGGGCTGGTTTTGAACTGCAACCCTCAGATCTCAGCCTTCTGATTAGCTAGGATTACAGGCATGAGCCAGTGGCACCTGGCTTGAATCCTTTTATTTTATTTTTTGTCTGTTTGTTTGTTTTTTTGGGTCCGGTCATGGGGCCTGAACTCTGGGCCTGGGCTCTGTCCCTCAGCTCTTCAGCTCAAGGCTAGCACTCTACCACTTGAGCCACAGCGCCACTTCTGGCTTTTTCCTTTTTGCTTATGTAGTTCTGAGGAATCAAACCCAGGGCCTCTGGCATGCAAGGCATGTGCTCTACCACTGAGCCACCTTCCCAGCCCCGAATCCTTTTATTTTAATGAAGTATTTTGATAAAGCTTCAACATTATTGGTGTGTAGGAAAAGAAACCTAAAATGGCTCTTCTGTCCTACCCAAAGATAGTATAACTCATTTCAAAGAAGCATTTTGTCAGTCCAGTTCTGAAGTATGTGGTAAGAGAGCTAGAAAAGGAATAGGGCTGGGAAGGTGGCTCAGTGGTAGAGCGCTTGCCTTGCATGCATGAGGCCCTGAGTTCAATTCCTCAACACCACATAAGCAAAAAAAAAAGAGAGAGAGCTAGAAAAGGAGCAGGAATGATAGTAACAAAGAATGTCATTTAGCAACTACAAAAATAAAAAAAGAATGTCATTTAGTTTTGAACATTTCAGATCCTATTCTGCAGATTTGTTGCAGATTTGTTCTTAAAGTTTGTGTCTCCCTGAAGTCTATGAGGTAGACATTTCTTCTTCTTTATTTTGGGCGGGGGGGATCCGGTCGTGGGGCCTGAACTCTGGGCCTGGGCTCTGTCCCTCAGCTCTTCAGTTCAAGGCTAGCACTCTATCACTTGAGCCACAGCGCCACTTCTGGCTTTTTTCTTTTTGCTTATGTGATGCTGAGGAATCAAACCCAGGGCCTCAGGCATGCAAGGCAAGCGCTCTACCACCGAGCTACCTTCCCAGCCCAGATATTTCTTCTTTTTTTTTTTTAATTTAATTTAATTTTATTTGTGAACATACTGTACAGAGGGGTTACAATTCCATGGGCAGGATAATGCGTACATTTCTTACCAAGCATTGCAGCCTCCTCCTTTGGTTTACCCTTCACATCCCTTCCCAGCCTCCCCCCTCCCCCCCAGATATTTCTTCTTTAGTAAGCATACTTGGAAAGCAAGCTAAAGTTACTTGCCCAAGGCTGCACATTCACTTTGTGGCTGGTCCCATAGAGTCCTGGTGCTGAAATGGCCATCTGACCTTGGATGAGATATTTAACTCTAATTTCTTATTCCCAAGTTATCCTAGTAAGACAGCTTTTAAGGGTTTTTTCCCAGTGAAGAATATAAAGGATGCTGGTATTAAGTATCTATTTGTGTCAGATACTTTATCATATTTCATTTAATGCTTTTAACTTCTAGGGAAGTTTTATCTATTGGGGAACCAATAAATAAACCTAAATCTCTCACCAGTCTTCCTCAAGCCTTCTACCTTTCCTCCTGTTCATGTTGCTTTAGCCAGGTGGCTGACCTGGATTGCCTGGGCTAATTCTTAACCCTTGTTCTTACTTCAGCCTAGAAAGCTCTGGCTTCTTGTCACTTGGGTCTCAGCTCAGATGTCAGCTCTTGCTAGAGGCCTTCTTTTCCATTTAGACTAAAGTTCTCTCTCCTTTCACCTCCTATCATTCTGTCATAGGACTTTTTAACTAACATTTATTGGTATTAAAAAAAAAAAACATCTTGGGCTGGATGCTGGTTGCTCATTCCTATAATCTTCACGTCTCAGGAGGCTGAAATCTAAGGATTGCAGTTTGAAGCCAGCCCAGGCAGAAAAGCCCATGAGACTTATCTCCAATTAACCATTAGAAAACAGGAAGTAGGGGCTGGGAAGGTGGCTCAGTGGTAGAGCGCTTGCCTTCCATGCATGAGGCCCTGGGTTCAATTCCTCAGCACCATATAAGCAAAAAGAAAAAAGCCAGAAGTTGTGCTGTGGCTCAAGCGGTAGAGCGCTAGCCTTGAGCTGAAGAGCTGAGGGAGAGCGCTCAGGCCCCACAACCGGACCAAAAAAAGAAAAGAAAACAGGAAGTAGAGCTGTGGTTCAAAGTGGTAGAGAGCTAGCCTTGAGCTCAGAGACAGTACCCACAACCCACAAAAACAAGCTATCTTGTGATTCCTTGAGTCTCCTCTCCAGATGGAGAGTTTTTGCTACTTTTTTTTTTTGCTTTCAAATAAACTTTTTCATATTAAAAAAAAATATTTTTCTGCTGCAGTTTGCCTCTCCTAGAAAGTAATAATCCTGGAGACTAGCACATTGACCCATACAGTCATTACTGTTGATGGATAGACAGAGAAGTGAATAATAAAAAAGCTTGATAAAGTCAAGATCACTTCACTTGCTCAAGGACCTGCAACTCTGTGGGCAAAGCTAGAGAGTTTGGTCCTGGCTGCTGGCTTCTGAGGGCTCTGGGGTGAGCGACGTGCTAGAGAACAGCTTGCTGACCTGTCATAGTGCAGGAATCGTTTTGCAGCTATATGACAGAAGTGGCCATCAGCATGGAGAAGCCGTTCCCTTCTCCCTGTAACATAAAGTTTGGTGGAGTTTAAAAATAAAAAGGAATTGGGCAATGGTGGCTCATGCCTGTACTTCTAGCTGCTCTGGAGGCTGAGATATGAGGATTGAGATTCAGAGGTAGCCCAGGCAGACTCTTGACTAATGAACCACCAAAATGTTGGAAGTAGAGCTAGAGCTCAAGTGGTAGCTATAGCTACTACCTTTTGCTAGCCTTAAGCAAAAAAGCTAGGGGAAAGTTGTGATATGCACATTCTTCTTTCTTCTTTCCTTCCTTCCTTTCTTTCTTTCTTTTTCTTTCCTTCCTTCCTTCCTTTCTTTCTTCCTTCCTTCCTTCCTTTCCTTTCTTTTTGTATTTCTTTTTAAAATCCAAGACTGGGAGTCAAACTTGATACCTGCCACTTTTGCTCTCTGCCAACTGAGCCACGCCTCTAGCCTTGCCATTCTTTTTCTTAATTGCAGAAAGAGGCATCGGGAAGATTCTGATGTGGAAATGATGGAAGACGATTCCCAGAAGGACATGACAGCAGCTTCTACCCCTCGGAGAAGGATCATTAACCTCACCAGTATTTTAAGTCTCCAAGAAGAAATTAGTGATCGGGGACATGAGAGTAAGTAAGTGCAGAGAACTGCTTCGGACTCAGAGGGCCTGAACTGTTTCCAGTAATGTTTTGGAAATGCAGAAAGCATTTTGTTGTCCACTGGACAAGCCTGGCTTCCCAAAGTAACCCACAGAGACATCAGATAACAATTCGCAAGAGGAAAAAAAAGAGTATCAGTCCATTTTAATTAGCATTTGTTGTATTATTAAATCATAGGAGCCAGGTAAAAACATTTATTGCCATAATGTTTACTTTGCTAAAAGCATCAACAAAACTCTTACAGCCTAAATGCCATGTGCTATTGCTGAACGTTCATGGGCTTTGGAGATAGCCTGGCCTCGGATCCTGGCTGCCGATCACTTCGGTTGTGTCACCACACTTGGGACTTAAACTTTCTGTGCCAGTTCCTCATCTAAAACCTGAGATTAATTTTGCCCTCGACTTTTACCCTAATTAGAGACCAACTGTGACACATTCATGAAAGACTACATACTTTTATATTGTAGAAACAAAGTCATCTCTGTCATCCTCAAAAATAGCTTTTGAGAATACTGATTGTAGAACTCCATCCTGCTCCCTCTTACTTCAGAAGGTGTTACATAGTTTACATGGAGGAGACCCAGGGATTAGGCATGTGATAGCGATCCATGTCACCCAGCCATTCTGACCCCAACTTATGAGTGAGTCACTAACACTCTAAATAGACTTCACTGGGCAGGGCTCTCGGGGTGGCAGGTCTGCACACATGGATTAGCTAAGATTTTTCCATTTTTCAAACATTTCAATAGTATTATCTTTAAAAATGTATCTTAAAGTATGACCCATCTGTATTTTTAAAAATGATGAGTAGATCAGGAACAAGTCAGTACCTTTCCCACTCATCCTCCACCTTTTAAAACAGTTGCTAAGACTCATTGACCTCTTAAGTTTTCCTTAGTCATGTGTCTAAACCAATGCAGGAAGACCTCAGTTTTCCTTTCTCTATTCACTCTTAGCACTCTGGGTTTGTGTTTTTAACTCAAGGTAAAAACCTTACCTGAGTAAACTTCCTGTGACTGAACTTTGCCAGTTATACAAGTAGTTACTGTCTGGTTTCCAATTATTTCCATGAAGACTTGCTCCAGTTACTTTTTCACTTTATCATTCGCCTTCAAGATGGGACCTCTGAAAGCAATTTTCAGTCATATAAGAAAGATAGGCTAGCCTGCCGTGGCTCACGCCTGTAATCCTAACTACTCAGGAGGCTGAGATCTGAGGTTCAAAGCCAGCCCCGGCAGGAAAGTCCGTGAAACTCTCATCTCCAATAAACCACCAGAAAGCCAGAAGTGGCGCTGTAGCTCAAGTGGTAGAGTGCTCGCCTTGAGCTGAAAAGCTGAGGGACAGCGCTCAGGCCCAGAGTTCAAGCCCCATGACCGACAAAAAAAAAAGAAAGGTAGGCTAATGTGTGATTTACTTAGCAGTCTTCATCTCGGTAGTTTTAAATGACAGACTTCCCCTAGACTTGAAATGCACAAGGCAATCTATTAAAGATCACTTTTTTTCAGTAATATCAAACTGTTTTCAGTGAAGTGAAACAAACACCTGTATCAGGTGTTTACAGGTTTGGAGTTTTACTGACGCCAAAATGATGAGTCTTAAGTGGCTTAAAATTGTAAATTCCTGTGAACTATCTCACATCATTCCCAAGCAGTCTTGTAAAAGGCAGACTACATGCTGCTGTCCTTTTGTAAAAACAAGGTAACAGAAGGTGGAGAAGTCAGATTAGATGGAACATCCCAGAACAAGCCCAGAGCCCGGCACTGTGGCACACAATACAATGTCAGCTTCTTGTGGGTGGAGTCAGGAAGATGACTTGAGTTCAAAAATTCCAGGCCAGCTGGGTGCCAGTGGCTCACACGTATAATCCTAGCTACTCAGGAGGCTGAGGTCTTAGGATCCTGGTTCAAAGCCAGCCCTGGAAGGAAAATCTGTGAGACTCTTATCACCAGAAAACTAGAAGTGGTGCTGTGGCTCAAAGAAGTAGAGCACTAGCTGAAGAGCGTAGGGACAGCACCCAGGCCCTGAGTTTAAGCCCCACGACCGACAAAAAAAAGTTCCAGGCAACTTTGCACAACTTAATAAGACTACATCTCAAACTAAAACAAAGAAAAAGAAAACAGATAAAGACAAGCCAGGTCCAGGAGAGGCTTTGTAGATGGCAGTTATTGTCAGCGTCCAGGCCAGTGGCTCGCGCAAGGCGAGTATGTACATGATTCTGATCCTTAGCCGGGGGGAGCCTTCAGCTGGTGTTGATGTTTGTGTTGTCCTCGTTTGTTGAATTTCCAGCCCCACCTGCCATTGCTTAGGCAGGATCAGATCAAATGATCATTGAGGGGCCTTATGTGTCCCGCAAGCCAGACATTCCCCACCTCTGCTTAGGCCAATACTGCCTTTCGACAGGGGAAGTCTGTGGCACTTAACAGTCACAAAGAGGGGGCCACTGTGATGGGAGGAATGCAGCCTAAGAAGGATTCTGCCGAAGCTTATGACTGCCCTGCTCTGTAAAATGTGCTCACTCCCGAAGCCCTCACTGGACTCTCATAAACACTTTACGTACCATGTAAATGTTTAGTAAACTCCAAGGCTCTGTTCCTGTCAGTGACCTCTGCCATGAACCCTATTATGCTGGCATCTTGTCCACACAAGCTCAAGAAAACTGTCTTTGAGTTGAAGGCCGTGTTGGGGTTCTCAGGCTCAGACTGAGTGAGGAAACTTGCGAGCACCAGCCTTCCTGCTCCCTGATGTTGTTTTCCTGCACCTGGAAAGAAGTGAGACCCACTTCCCTTACGCTCACTTGCACCTGTGGTTCCTTCCTTAGGTGCCACCTGTGCTGGGAGGTGTCTGTGGAGGTTGCCCAGCATGGAGCCTGGCACGTGACTACTGTGGTAGGGAGCAGCCCGGCAGCGGAAGCCCTAGAATCGGTGTCAAAGCTGAACACTCAGTTAAGCAACTCTCTTGGGCCTGATAGCTATGTAGTGACCCGTCTTCAAATGGGGCTAATTTTGGAAGGCTCAGCGTCTTGTCACACTATAGAGTTAGGGACAAGTAATGACTGAACTTACTACTGGTCCCTTCATTGTGACCTGATTAAACTGGAATAAGGAATATCATAAATTATTTGTGATGATTTGAATGTGAAAATGTTAACATCGTTTTTTTTGCCTCCAGATAACCATTATAAAATTCATAGTTTTTTTTATCTTTTGTTAGACTTCTTGGGTCTAAATGTACATACTTTTAACATGATTTGTCACAGGAAACTTTTCTTTTTTCTTTTTTTTTTTTTTGGTTGGTTGAGGGGTTTGGACTCTGGGCCTGGGCGCTATCCCTCAGCTCTTCAGCTCAAGTCTAGCGCTCTACCACTTGAGCCACAGCGCCACTTCCAGGAAACTGTTTTGATACATGAACTTAATGCAGCCAACATTTGAGAAATATCTTATAAAATGTGCCACACTGCCATACTTGGGGTAGAAGGTCAGATGAATAAGACATGACCCTGGCCTTCGAGGATACTGTGGTGGTGTACATAGATTATTAAGTAGACAACTGGCTATAGAATTAGAATTAAATGAATTGTACCAGAGAAGAGGCCAGGATAGCAGGAACTGCTCTGAAATCCCCGGAGAGTGCAGGGAGGGCTTCTTGATCATCTTAACAACAGAGTCATTGGCAGACAGAGGCCCTGGAAGGTGGCCATCAGGGAATGGGGCCTCTGCCCTGCAAGAAGACATTAGAAATCAGAGCGCTGGGGCTCAGGACCTCTCCTTAGGTGTAGCTTTGCTTGCTGCTGCTGAGAACATGAGGCCAAGACCACAAGGCCTGCTGTGAAACAGGATGTGTATTTGGGCTTCGGAACCCAGAAGGACTCCCATTTTGCTTTTTGTAGAATTTCAGGAAATGAATACAGATGTGTAGGGGCTGTAGGGAAATTTAGGGTGGGAACGAAGTATATGCCCTTTAAATCCTGAAAAATCCATGCCGAGGCCTAGTTGAGAAGAGCCTTGTGTCAGGGGCTGAGGAGGGCAGGCTACCTCAGTAGCTAGGAATGTGTCAGGGTATATCTCCATGAACACTGCATGGAAACTTCTGGCCCTGATTTATTGTATTGCACTGCTTTCCCTTTCCTCCAGTGTCTCGTTATTCATGATTACTTGATGTTCTCCAGCTTTTAAAGTAATTATTTTCCACCCACGCATAACATCCTGTAGAGACATTGAGTTTCCAGTGGGAACCGAGGTCTAAACATGAAGGAAATAAGCCTCTTGGTGGGGGAGGGGATGGAGGATTCATTGCAAAATTTACGTAACAACGAGAATCAACTTGTAATGTCCGAGCTTAAGGAAAAGGTCCTGTCATGTTTTAACATGACACCCAGGCTCGTGACTGTGCCCACACCCTTTCTTGTTTCCTTCAACTCTGCATCCGCTTTCTCCTCTTTGGTAGTGGTGCATTTTCTTCTTTCATTAAAAATAATTTTGGGGGCCTGGGAGAGAAAGTTTAGTGGTAGAATTTTTGCTTGCTACTTGTGAGGCCCTAGATTCAGTGTAAAGCACTGCCGAAATAGCAGGAGTATATACTTTTTTCCGCTTCGATAATAGCGGAGTTTGAACTCAGGGCCCATGCTTGGGAGGCAGGCGCTCTCCCAGTTGTATCAGTAAATATAAAACTGTATTTTTCAAATCTGTGTAAACTCTACAGAAAGGAGAGTGAATGCCTATGAGAATCTCAAGAGCACTGCCACCACCAGCAAAGTTCTTAACGTGCATCTTTCCCGTCCTGATACCTTCTTTCCTTCCTACAGCTGCTTGCTCCCCTGCTATGTGTGCTTCATATTTTCTTCCTTGTCATATATTACTGCCTGTATTTGTAATAAAAACCATTTACCTTTGTAAACTTTGAACGTTATAAATGTAATGATTTTATATGAATTTATGCTCTTTAGGTGCAACCATCTTCACACATACAGATGTGGTTTACCTTTTGTGTGTAATGGATTCCATTTCATAAGCACTCATAAGTTGACTCATTCTGTTGAAGGGCATGTCTCGTTGCATCTCATCCTGCTTTCCAGCCAGTGTGGCTGGAGATATGGAGATATTTGCTTAGGAACGTTACTGCTCGGTCACAGAATGGCATGCTGCTTTTCAGAGGGGCTGTGTTTACTCCCACCAGCAATGGACCCTTTCTTTCTACTGCTGATATTATCCAACATTTTGCTAGTTTGATGAATACTAAACCATATCTGATGGTTTTTATTTGTACTTCCTTGCTGACTAATACATTTTAGGAAGTGTATTTCCTCATTTGTTAAGTGTCTGTTCAACTTTTTTGTCCATTTTCTGTCAGGTTTTCCTTTTTTTTTTTTTTTTTTGGTCGGTCCTGGGGCCTGAACTCTGGGCCTGGGCGCTGTCCCTCAGCTCTTCAGCTCAAAGCTAGCGCTCTACCACTAGAGCCACAGCGCCACTTACGGCTTTTTCTGCTTATGTGGTGCTGAGGAATCGAACCCAGGGCCTCGAGGCAAGCACTCTACCATTGAGCCACCTTCCCAGCCCCTAACTAATGTTAATCTTTTCATTTTTTTCTAATTTTAGAAGTTCTTTATATTTTCTAAGTGGTGATCATTTAGATGAAAATATCTTGCTCTACTTTAGAGCTTATCTGGTAACTTCTTGTTTGGAACACTTGTTTTTAATAGAAATAGAAATTCTTTTGTTTACGGTAGATACATTTATTGGTTGTTCTTTACAGTCTGGCCTTCTGGATTTTTTTTTTAATGAGATGGATCTTACTATGTTGCTGAGGCTGATCTTGAACTTCTGGACTGGACTCAAGGGATTCTCTTGCCTCATGCAGTTTGTTTTCAGGAGATTTGGTTCAGGTATCTTTGCTTGATGTTGCTAGTTCTTATGCCAGATCATTGCCAGTGAGAAGAGGTATTTAGGATTCCATTAACAAACACTGTGTTTTTGTTTTCCAGCTCTACGAGAAATGCTCTGTAACCACTCCTTTGTGGGTTGTGTGAATCCTCAGTGGGCGTTGGCTCAGCATCAGACCAAGCTGTATCTTCTCAACACCACCAAACTTAGGTAAATCAGTGTGTGGAAAGCAGTGAGCCACTGGAATGGTCCAAGGTTCGTGGGCACAGAGGTTGAGAGCAGGAAAGGTGGTTGACACAGGCTCGAGTCAGATAGATGGGACCATTTACTATTCCTATGACCATCCGTTACTTTCCTAAATATGTCTGTTTTTTCATCTGTAAATTAGGATAATACTATTATTTGTGTGTTTATTGGTGTTGGTCTTGGGACTTGAATTCAGGGCCTGTCCCTGATACTTTGCTCTCTACCATAGCTCCATTTCCATCTTTTTTGGTAGTTTAGTGGAGATGAGAGTCTCACAGACTTTTCTGCCTGGGCTGGCTTTGAACCATGATCCTCAGATCTCAGCCTCCTGAGTAGCTAGAATGACAGGCATGAGCCACTAGTTCCCTGCAGGATACTACTAAACTTGCATTTTCCTGGTACGGATAATGGCTGAGAAGCCTAGTCCTTGCTGGATGCTTATTGGCTGTGGACTGGGTGTTGAGGACTTGATGTTATTGGAGAATTCTTAGTGCCTTTTTCCTGGTTTGGGGAGTATAACAAAGGCTTAGTCTAACCAAGCAAGCCCTGGGGGGCTCATCAAACACAGTAAGGGTGGTTGGACTAAGCCTTTGTTATATAGCATAGGAACTCAGACTTCGGTCCAGGCTAGTTTCAGACAATAGTCCTCCTACCTTTCCACGTCCCGAGTAGCTGGTGTTATAGGAGGAACCACTAGCTTTTTATAGGGTCTCACTAGCTTTTACCTTAAAGATAATCCTCCTATTTTGCGGGCCAACTATTTGAGATTATAGGCATGTACTACATGTTTGATAATGATGTGTTTAAGCAAGACCAATAAGGTTCAATTGAAAAACTGTAAAATACCATATAAATGTGGCATTTATTACAATTCTGTGTCTTTATAAATAATTCATTGTATACTTAACAGCTGCTTTTGGATTGTTGTTAGCAGTATATCATCTTAAACCAATTATCTATGAATCACATATCTATAATCCCAGACTCAGGAAGCTGAGACAGGAAGATTTCTACTTCATAGGTAGCCTGAGCTATAGATCAAGACACTGTCTCAAAAGTTAAAACTTATCAGTATGGTGTAATTCTGTCTTTCGTTTACTTTTGATTATTTAGAAAGACTTCCTCCCTATGTAATTTTTTTCTCAGGTGGGGATTAAGCTCAAGGCTTCACCTATATTAGACAAGCTCTCTACCACTTAGTGACACCCAGACTTTCCCACATAGGTTTGTGTGTGTGTGTGTGTGTGTGTGTGCGTGCGTGCGTGCGTGCGTGTGCCAGTTCTATGTCTTTCAATCAGGGCCTTGCACTTTCCCACAGCTTTTTGTTTTTATTTTTGTTTTTTGGGTCCGGTCATGGGGCCTGAACTCTGGGCCTGAGTGCTGTCCCTCAGCTCTTCAGCTCAAGGCTAGCGCTCTACCACTTGAGCCACAGTGCCACTTCTGGCTTTTTTCTTTTTGCTTTATGTGGTTCTTAGGAATCGAACCCAGGGCCTCTGGCATGCAAGGCATGCGCTCTACCACTGAGCCACCTTCCAAGCCCTTTCCCACAGCTTTTTCACTCACTTCTGGAGCTCTACCAATTGAGCCACACCTCCAGTCTGGCGTTTTGCTGGTTATTTGGAGTCCTACAGGTTTTTTTCTGTTTCAGTCAGCTTCAGACTTTGGTTCTCAGATCTCAACCTCTTGAGTAGCTAGGACATAGGTGTGAACTACCTTCACCCAACTTCCATATAATTTTTAATGTTAGATGTCAGATTTATAGCATTCTTTGTTAAGCAGGGGAAAGTATGCAAACAAAACTTTTATTAAATTTCACTGAAGATGCCAGAAACAATTTATAGCACCAAGGGGGTAAAGACAGCCTGTTTGGGGGGCTGGCCAGCCACAGATCCAGCTCTGGAGTAAATGTTCCAGCTCTTTGAAGGATAGAGATGTTGTTAGACTTTTAACCCAGGCCCTCTACCAATCTTTTTGTCCCCGATTGTTTCAGGACTTCTTCCATGTTGTACCTGCTGCTTGACTCTCAAGCAGACTTAGCTTTTCCCTAATATCACTGCATTTTTATTTCCAGCGAGGAGCTATTCTACCAGATTCTCATCTACGACTTTGCCAACTTTGGTGTTCTGAGGTTATCGGTAAGTTTTTATCCTCATTTCTGAAATGAAACTGGTCATTTCTCAAAATAGGAGCTCTACATCATCTTATTTGTAGTTTAATTGTTTTCTTACATGTACTTAGTAGTTTCTGAATTGTATGAGTTGCATGTAGGGGCATCTAATCTCAGTAGTTTTATGCTCATTAGCTGAATAGTCATTTGGAGTTGCCAACTTAAATAACTATTCGTGTAGAAATTAATATGTGGGCGGGGAAGGTGGCTTAGTACTAGAGTGCTTGCCTAGCATGAGTGAAGCCCTGGATTCAATTCCTCAGTACCACATAAAAAGAAAAGATCAGAAGTGGTGCTTTGGCTCAAGTGGTAGAGTAGTAGCCTTGGGCCAAAGAAGCTCAGGGACGTGCTCAAGCCCTGAGTTCAAGCCCCAGGACTGGCAAAAAAGGAAGGAAGGAAGGAAGGAGAAAGGGGGAGGGGAGGGAGAGAGAGAGAGAGGGAAGGAGGTAGGAGAGATATTAATATGTATCCACTCAGGAAAACTGGTAAGAGAAAAAAAATAGAAATATTCTTTGAAACCATGATCAAAATATAACCTCTGGTAACCCTTTTTAAAAATATGCTGGTGGTTCATTGCCGGGCCTCATGCAGGCCAAGCAAGTGCACCACCACGGAGAGAAGAGCTGTGTCACTGTCCCTCACTAGCAATTTAGTCAGCTTATACCAAGACTTTGTCAGTGCCTAATTTTAATTTAGATTTAAAATCATACTATCTATATAGTTCATTTTATATTTGATGGATTCTACAAAACTTGTGCAGTTATTTTGATTAGAAATGCATTGAATCTATACATCAATTTGGGGAGAGAAGTTTTTGTCAGGTTAATCATTAGCATTTCACATTTCTTTTTTGAATTTTTAATGAGCTATAATCTTTTTTTTTAAGTAGTTGTACAAAGAGGTTAAAATTCCTTATGTTTGGATTATGAGTATAATGTATCTTGATCAGTGTCACCCCTTCCATCATTTTCCCCCCCATTTCTCCTCCTTCCTGTCCCTCCCCTCAAGTTACATAGTTTTCTTCTTAAATAATGTTCCACTATAATGACCGCATTGCTCACCCTGCCTCCTCATTACTCCCTCTTCCCAGAACACGTCACTTCCTTCCTAGCGATCATTTTTTAAAGCAGTTCATTAACTGTTCAGAGTAGTTATAGCTTTGGACTCCTCCCCTGAGTATACCATTCTTTAGTCAGTTTGTGTATGTACATAAAACCCTGTATGCTTGTATTTTAGAGCTAATTTCCATATTTATGAAAGGAAATCAGGCCTGACCTATGATGTCTGGCTGCCTTCTCTTTTTAACTTCATCAGTCTATTATTTTTTGTTTCATTTTTTCAAATAGCACACCCCAAAATGTTGTCATTCCATGTGTATACCATAAACATGTAATGCAATAAACTTCCATACATGACATACCATGTACTGTGTAGTACTACCTCCCCAGCGACTACAGATTTATCAGTGTTACTGATTTCTCAAAGAACTATTTTATTATTTCATTGATTTTTTTTCTGTGTGTGTGTGTGCCAGTACTAGGGCTTGAACTCAGGACCTGGACATCATCCCATAGCTTTTTCACTCAAAGCTAGCACTTGAGCCATAGCTCTGCTTCGGCTTTTTGCTGGTTAATTAGCATCATGTATATTAAATTTAAATTGGTATTGATGTCCAAATCTTTTGTATATCCTTAATTATTTTTCTACTTGTTATATTAGTTGAGAGTATTGAAACCCCTAGCCATAGTTGTGAATTTCTCTTATTTGTATTTATGTTACTTATTTAAAGTTCTTTTGTTGGATGTATAAATATTTTAAGATTATTTCATTAGCCTGGTGTTATGGTACACTTCTGTTATCCTAGCTACTTGAGAGACTAAGCGAAGATCAGGAGGATTGCAGTACAAAGACAGCCCGGGTAGAAAATTCCACAAATCTCAGTCTCAACAAATGAAAAGCTGGATATGCCTACCATGCCAGAAGCATAAACAGGATTGCAGGCCAGGCTAGCCAAGGCCAAGGAAGGAAAGAAAAAAAAAAAAAAGGCAAGGCTGTACTTGAGAAATAGGGATGTGGCTCAAGTGGTAGAGTGCCTACTTAGCAAATGCAAGACCTGTGTTCAAACCCTAGTACTGGCCAAAAGAGGGAGAGAGGAATGAAGTAGACATTTTGGGGTTTTTGCAATATTGGGATTTGAACTCAACTCTGCTCTTGTTCTCTACTGCTTGAACCACACCTCTGGTACTTTTTACTCTGGTTGCATTTTTTTTTTTTGGGGTCCGGTCGTGGGGCCTGAACTCTGGGCCTGGGAGCTGTCCTTCAGCTCTTCAGCTCAAGGCTAGCGCTCTACCACTTGAGCCACAGCGCCACTTCCGGCTTTTTT